GTATGAAGTTAGCTTTGTCCGCTTTTTAACTCGTCTCGTGCTGTAAAATGAGTTGAAACTTTATAAGAGATATTTTGGCACGTTATCATGAGATTGTTTAGCCAACGTGGGTTGGCGTGTCAGGGCGTTTAGCTCTTACTAAGATTTTTTTTTTTGCAGATATTTTGTGGCGCATAGATTTTAAGAGTTACGATTTCATGAATAAGGCACAATGAGGCGTCACTTAAGCAGATGTTTTTTGTTCTTTTCGTTTTGTTTGCTGGGGTTCGTCCATAGAAATGCTAATTTAAATGATAAATCGGAAAAAAAAAAATAGAATGGGAAAGGGATGAGAAACAAAGCATTTTAGAACTAGTAAGTGGTTATGGGATTAGAAAGAAGACGAAAATAAAGAGAAGAAACCATAATCGAAGTAAAGACAACGAGAAAAAGTAGAAAATGGGCGTGATGAAAGAACAAAAAAGGGTCACCCGCAGTGTAAGTGTGTTCCTTGTTAAGCAAAAAAGAAATCATACCTTCAATATCCACGGGAGTAATGAACAAGAAATCAATGAAGGATATCGTGCAATAACTCATGATCCTCACTCACATGTTGATCAACCTTCTAATTAGTGATTTTCATCACACTTATTGTGTTCAAATAGACAAAGCTTGACAACACAACTAAGAACCCAAAATTCCTTGCCCCAAACATAATTTTTGCTCAAAAATAGCAAAAGCAGACTCTATTTTTTTTAATTTTAACTATTTCATTGCTACTTCCGTACAAACAGAAACGTCATCTACTTCTTTTATTTCAGCTATTTCATAGTTACTTCCTTACAAATAAAAAAACTCTTACCAGCACCCATGGGCACTGTTACAAAACCCATTCATAAATTCAATTAAATGAATAATAACTGTTCTTCTTCGATATTAACATTAGAAATGCAATTAAACCAACTCTATAAGAAAGTGAGTCAGCGGTCAGTATGGGTACGAGGACAATGTCAAGGACTTTATAGCAAGTCATCTAATTTAGGGGTCTTTTTCGCTAATATGCTTTGAAGGGGCCATATTAGAGGGGCAAAAACCCCCCATCAAATAACTACAGTTAAATTGCATTTAAATGACCTATAATTCCACCAACATTGCACTTAAGTGACCTTTATTTTAAAACTGACCAAATAAATACCCCAAAGTATTTAAATGTTACCGATCACTATCCCAAAGTTAAAAAATCCCTAATGGTGTTGACATTTCTCTGTGTCCAAGAATGTCATATAATACAAAGTACTAAAGTGTAACTTTTAAAAAAATTGAAACATTAAGTAAACAAAAGGGCACCAAAGTGTGATAATTTGAAGCTTTAGGCATTTATCTGTAACATTTAAATACTACGAGGCATTTATTTGCTCGGTTTGAAAATAGCGGTCACTTAATTACAGCATTGATGAAATTATAGGGCATTTAAGTACAATTTAGCCAATAACCACAGACTCTAGTGATACCATCAAGAGGATAGCCATAGATGCCTGTCACGAGAATCAAACGGATGAAAATTCTACTAACTGGCGATGCCGTTACAAGATAGCATCCATAAATACGGGACCAGCTTTGTTTTCGAAGGCTTACAGCACAAAATAGACATCATAGGACTGTGCTTGCCGAGATGAGAAGCACTAGTCAAAATGTGAACTCTTCAGGCAGCTCCTGAAACTTACTAGATAAAAAACTCCTGTACTTCCCCTTGAGATCTCTAACTGCAATGATAATTTAGGATTTGTTGTATCACAAGAAATAAATAATTTGGACGGAAAAAAAGGTTAGCCGGAAATTCATTACCTTTGGAATCAACAATCCCTGTTTTGCCCTCTGGCGCTTTATCGGATAAAGTGACTGAAGCAAGTCTAATAATCTCCTCACCTATAATTCCAATAGAGAAAGTATAATAACAGTCAAGGTACTTCAAGGTTGCATAAAGGAAACTAAATACGAATCTTACCAGTTATATGCTTTCCACCACTGTTAACATTGATCAAGAAGGACGAGATCTCATTATTCTTTAACTAACAAATAAAGATGGAAATTAATCATGAGCGAGGTATGATAGTCAAGAAGATATTATCGTTAATGAGGGGTTATCAAGGAATCACAAGAAGTTTTTAATACGTACATGTGACAATAGGGCAATGGCAAGTGCTAGCGGATCAAGAGGCGAAGGACCTCTGCTGAAAGCAGGCAAGAATTTTCCATCCTGATAGCCTGCCAAAAAGTGATAAGCGGCTTGTCCTGGAGACAGCTTCGATACCAATGGAATTGCACCGGTGCTGCAATTTGGAAAAAGCCGTTGGTAAAATGTCAGAAGTTCACCAGCAACTAAAAGCAATAATAGAGGATGTGAACGCAAATTAAAGCCATCTCAAACCCCAAACTTTGATTTCATGAACGAAGCACTAAGAGAGTGATCTTAAGACAAAGAACTTTGATTTCTGAATTTATTTCACCTGTCAGCGGAAGCAATGATCACAGAAGCAGGTTTCTTTAGCAGCTTTTTTGCAGGACCTTTAGTTCTGAAAAAGGGAAGCACACTATCAGAACTCAAAACAACTCCAGCATCTTGAGTCACCAATGCCTGACAAAGATCAGAACAGGTCCGAAT